AAAAAAAAAAAATGAAGAGTAAAGTCAGCAAGTGATTGAGTTCAGTAGTTTCTCATATCAAATTATTGACATCGTCGAATTTTGAATACTACAGAACGCCCCTAAACTGAAAGCCCTTTAGGAGCCCCTTTCCGGGCTATCTGCTGCTAGCTAGTCACCAGATCTATATAAGTAGTACAGTAGTACAAGCGAGGTAGAGTAACAGATTAACTCATCAGGCTCATGACCTGAAGATCGAAGGTTCGAGTCCTGCCCTGACATCAGACAAAGATAACAACATATACGAGACAAAATGAATTTAACATAATAACGGATAGAATACTTTGACTGCTTCTCCAGAGGAGAGGGCATCTGGTTCTGTAGCAGGAACTTAAACTGATGAGGCTAGCTTAGATGGAGACACAAATTTTACATGTTTCTGATTATTTTTCAATAATAAAGGTATTGCTCGTGGAGCAATTTATCAATAAAAAAAAATAAAAAAACACGTGGACAAAAAAAAAAAAAGAAAAAAAAGGGAGCGGACAACAATAAAAATGACGTATTTAAGGAATACGTTTTCTATACAATTATTTAAGGAATACGTTTTCTATACAAATTGTATAGAAAACGTATTCCTTGAATACGTTTTTTCAGATTTTTTTACAAAAGAAAACGTATTCAATGAATACGTTTTACAATTAAAAAAATGGTAAAACGTATTCACTGAATACGGGGTTTTTATTTTGGTCCACTCTCATTTGTTTGTGTATTTTTTTTTCCACAACTTAATTTTTTTTAATTTTCTGGTAAAAAATTCATTGCTCGTGTGGCTTTTTTGTAATATTTTTTATTATTATTATTACAGGGGTAAACTTGTCACTCCTTTCGAGAGTGATGTCATCCAGGCTGTCTCGTGGGACCTACAATGGTGGCCTTCTATCAACAGAAGCCGGTACACTTGCTCGGGTTATAGCCGATGCTACCATCACTCTCGCCGGGTTTTTGGGGGAGAGTAGGCTCTTGAATGCCACCCTTGTCCCATCTCTCGTCATTTGCATTGCCTCCATTGTCGCTACATGCTGTACGTACAATTCCTTGTACTAAGACAGCATTTTACAGTTTGGCTAAATGTCAAATAGTGGAAAAACTCTTCTATTTACACAACCCATTCTTTATTGTCTCTTGAAATTGTTATTGCTTTTATTCTTTTGTTTCTATGAAAATTACTCTCCTTTGTGATGAACCTGAAATTGGTTCTCTGTATATGGATATCATGAATGGAGGCCGAATCGAGCCGGCCCGAAAGTACCTTTGTAGTTTCTAGTAAGGCCTACAAGGTGAGATTAGGCTGAAGTCCTCTCCAAACAAAGGTTAAAGTCTGAGGAAATAACTACAGTTGTTGAGCCACCAAATCCTGACCTTACTTGTGTAGTGTCTTCAAATCAATTTTAACCTGTTGATAATTAATACCAAAAAACTCCAAAATACAGGTGACAAGGTATATCTCTAGATTTAAGAAGCCCTCCGTTGTTTATATATAAAATAGTTGGCTAAAACATTTACTTTTAACCAACTTCATTATGGCTATGTTTGGTAAACCAAATAAGCTAGCTTATAGCTTATTTGATTAGCTTATAAGCTTCTTGTATTCAAATAAGCTCCGTTTGGTAGGACGAGCTTATTTAAAAAGCTCGAGCTTATTTGATAAGCTTGTTTAGGTAGTTTTTCAAATAATCTAGTTGATTTTTTATTCCAGCTAGCTTATCAGCTAATTTTACCAAACACTTTTATCATATAAGCTAGCTTTTCAGCTATAAGTTATAAGCTATAAGCTATAAGCTATAAGCTCAAAAGTTACATATCAGCTTTCAGCTAGCTTATCAGCTAGTTTTACCAAACATAGCCTATGTCCCAGAGATAAGTCTCACATATTTTTGTATGAATCGGTCTACTAGTTAGACGGGTCGACTCACCAAACTTTTTGAATAAAACTGTAACTTACTGTAAGAAATATTATATTTTATTTTCATTTTATTTTTGAAATATATCACCGCGGAACTAAATATTTATTATATTTGGCAGTTCTCAGCATGCACTCAAAAAATATATCATAAAAATAGTGAATTGCTATTTACGCCCTCTTTTACTAATCACCGCCCCCCAATTACGTTTTTGCCCTTATGACTATCTCTCTACTTTCTCTCTCTACTCTTTTCTTCTCGACTTTTCACGGCTCTTTTGACCGTCAAAAAAATGTCGAAAAAATTCGAAAAAAATACCATGACATCGGCAACACATTGAAGATTGACTATGTATTTTTTTTTTTATATTTTTCACTTTATAAATAATTTTTTAAATTTTTTTTTTATTTTTTTTTTCGTGTCCGGCCGGACGGACCGGACACACCATTGGGTGTCCGGCCGGACGGACCGGACGCACTCATTGGTGTCCGGCCCGTTCGGCCGGACGCTATATTACTTGTCAGGTCCGTCCGGCCGGACACCCACTGGTGTGTCCGGTCCGTCCGGCCGGACACCCATTAGTGTGTCCGGTCCGTCCGGCCGGACACGAAAAAAAAAATAAAAAAAAAATTTAAAAAATTATTTATAAAGTGAAAAAATATAAAAAAATACATAGTCAATCTTCAATGTGTTGCCGATGTCATGGTATTTTTTCGGATTTTTTTGACATTTTTTTTACGTTCAAAAGAGCCGTGAAAAGTCGAGAGGGAAAGAGTAGAGAGAGAAAGTAGAGAGATAGTCATAAGGGCAAAAACGTAATTGGAGGGGGGGGGGCGGTGATTAGTAAAAGGGGGGCGGTAAATAGTAATACCCTAAAAATATTTTTCAGCATGCATTACATGGAGATTCTATGATCCCGTTATGGAACTATTCTGTCCGGGTTTATAACTGTTAGATCAATTATCCATGTCGGTTACATGATGATCTAACGATTCTAAATCCCGACGGAATGGTTCCGTAACGGAACTATAGGCTATGTTTGGTAATCCAAATAAGCTAGCTTATAGCTTATTTGGTTAGCTTATAAGCTTCATGTATCCAAATAAGCCCCGTTTGGTAGGACGGGCTTATTTAAAAAGCTCGAACTTATTTGATAAGCTTGTTTAGGTAGCTTTTCAAATAAGTTCGTTGATTTTTTTTATTCCAGCTAGCTTATCAGCTAATTTTACCAAACACTTTTATCATATAAGCTATCTTTTCAGCTATAAGTCATAAGCTATAAGCTATAAGCTCGAAAATTACATATAAACCATAAATTAACTTATCAGCTATCATCTAGCTTATCAGTTAGTTTTACCAAACATAGCCATAGTATTCCCCTCCATCACAATCTAATGTTTGACGAAATTGAAATTTGTGGCATCGATTTTTCAAACATTGATTAAACGTTTATCATTAGGTACTTTTATTTGTAACACTTATAAGTCAAGGTGTATGAACTGTGTATACAATGACTGGTGGTTACCACTTACCAAAGGCCCACATCAGTTGGTTGGTGCTGTAAAAGCTGGAAGATGCTACAATTCTATCTCGTAACATTAATTTCAACTCCTAACGTCTGTTTAGCTAGACAGCTGCGTGCCTCTCAGCTCCTATTTTTCCAATAAGGCATGTTGTGTGCCCGTCTAACGGTCAAACAATCATCATTTACCGCATATGTAAGATACGGGAGAAAATGAGTGTGATTCTACGCAAATGAAGCGCACCAAGACAGGAAAAGCACAGATGAAGCCCAAGTGAGGTTCCATTTCAAAATTAATTGGTGGGAGGAGGAGTAACTCATTAGACCTATTTTCCCTATATAAAGAATGTGAGACAACTCACAAGTGAATATTCTAATATAATGTATACTTCTAAACACAAATGTGTCGACGAACCAAATTAAAAACATGATATTTCATAATATATTTTCCCTATATTACAAATGTGTCGACGAACAAAATTAAAAACATGTATTTTATTAAAAACATGTTTTATTAAAAACATGATATTTCATACTTTTATTATAAAAGTATGATATTTCATAATATAAGTATGTATTTTATTTATTACATAGTCAATATGCTTTTTTCTTATTAATTTTTTCTTATATGTCTCGAGTTAATTAATTATTTGCCAAATTAATTTACCTAACTTAATTATGTTTTTTTTTTGGTAAACGATAAGTAATATTATATTTTGATGTAACATTTCAGTATTACTACTATACTAATACAACACCCGTGTATTATACGGGTGCTTGCTAATTTTTTTCTTAAAATTTAAAATTAATGAAAAAAAGTAGTTTGAAAATTTAAATACCTTTTATAAGAATATATATTATTATATATTTATTATGATACTTTTTATTTGTGCGACTTACTTGTGTTATATTATACTAATTTTTTAACTTACACTATATAACTACATTAAATATAAATATATCAATTGAGAAATAATTTTATTTTTCTAATGAATTTTAAAACTATTATTATTTTTTATTATTATAAAGATAAATATAATTTATTTATTTTATATATACAATATGAATGTCAAATCGAAGATCATCAAAAGATGATTAATTTGATATATTATATATGTAAAACCGATAAAAAATACAAAAATTATCTACTTTTAAAATACATTTATAATTCAATAGCTTATTGAAGGAAACAAATCAAAATTTAGGGATACATTAGTCACTTAGTGTCTCACTATTTGTAAAATTATAAATAATTTAAGGGTTATATTAGTAAAAGTGATATTAAAATACCTAAGTTAGCTAAATAATATATATGGAATACCCGGACTTAGATTATTAATTATTAATATATTAATATTATTTGTCCAAACCTAATTACGAAGCATGATTTTTCGCCAAATAGGATTCCGAAGCACCAGAAGCAGCCACGTAGGCTCAACGCATCCTGGAATTATATATAGAGAGGATATATTAGTAAAAGTGATATTAAAATACCTAAGTTAGCTAGATAATATTTATGGATTACCCGAACTTAGATTATTAATTATTAATATATTAATATTATTTGTCCAAACCTAATTACGAATCATGATTCTTCGCTAAATAGAATTCCGAAACACCAGAAGCAACCACGTAAGCTCAGCGCATTCTGGAATTATATATAGGGAGGATAACATTTTAACATTCGAACTTCAAATTCTTTATACTTAATTTTGACCATCTTGAATAGTACAACGAAATCGCGTTTCAAGACAATTATTTATAGGTAGTATGTAGATTTCAAATTTGTCTTAGAAAGTAAACATATAAAATCCTCCTTATATATAATTCCCGAATGCGCTGAGCCTACGTGGCTGCTTCTGGTGCTTCGAAATCCTACTTGGCGAAGAATCATGCTTCGTAGTTAGGTTTGGACAAATAATATTATATATTAATAATTAATAATCTAGGTTCGGGCATTCCATAAATATTATTTTGCTAACTTTGGTATTTTAATATCAATTGTACTAATATAACCCTTTAATTCTTTGTAATTTTAGATAGTGAGTCACTAAGTGACTAATATATCCCTGGCTTTTGATTTGTTTCCTACAATTAGCTATTGAATTGTAAATTTATTTTAAAAGTTGATAAATTTTGTATTTCTTACCCGTTTTACATATATAATATATTAAATTAATCATCTTTTAATGATCTTCGATTTGATATCCATATTGCATATATTAAATAAATAAATTATAGTTATCTTTATAATAATAAAAAATAATAATATTTACTAAAATTCAATAAAAAAAATAAAATTATTTCTCAATTGATATATTTATGTTTAATGTGGTTATATGTTGTAGTTAAAAATTATTATAATATAACACACGTCACACAAATAAAAAATATCATACTAAATATATTAATATAAATATTTTTAGAAGGTATTTAAATTTTCAACTACCTTTTCTCAGTAATTTTAGATTTTAAGAAAAAAATTAGCAAGCACCCGTGTAATACACAGGTGTTGTACTAGTTAACAATAATCCTATAAATTATTTCGCGTTTCTTATTTGAAGGCATTTCATTACTAATTTGATGCAGTTCTATATGTAGCAAAAATAACTCTATCTAAATTTTCAGTTTAGTAACGTAGATTTATATTAATTTTTTATCAAGATATGTTAATTTTATCATTTTTTTCATTTTAATAAATTTATAATTATTGTTGTATATACAAATTGTACAGATTAGTCTATTGATTGAACATAATGGTTTTTCCTTTTTTTTTTTTTTT